TCTTCAAAATTTCAAAATGTTTGGAACATCGAAAACTTTGGAGTTTCGAAAACCTCATACTATCAAAACTTGTTGTTTGAAAAACATCAAAACATCGAAAACTTGTTTAAAACTTTGAAAAGCAGAGATTCATCCAAGGATACTATAATGTAGAGGTTCGATGAACTGCGAAGAATGTCAAGCTTCGAAAAATTATGAGTTTCAAGAAACTGCAAACTTTGAAAGATACAAAACATCAAGAAATTCAAAAAATCTCGAAATCTTTCAGCATGTTGAAATCTCAAACATCGAAATCCCAAAATATCGAGGTCCCAAATTTCAAAATCCCAAGTCTCGAAATCCTCAAAATGTCGAGATCCTACAAAACGAAAACTTCGAATTTTGAAAATCTGAAAACTATTCTGAATAGCCCTGAAGGTCGAGATTCTTCCTGTATGAGTTTCAAGTCAAAATCGTTTCTGCAGCCAAGTAAAAATAGAATCTCGAGATCTTCGAAATTTAAAAATTGCAGAAATCGAAAACGAAGATATGGTGTAGAATCATTTTGAAAAGGCGATTCCAATAGTATAGATTTTACAGATTTTCGTTCACAAACAAGATTACAGGAGCAAATCTCTATATAAAAGAAAAATAGAAGAAAGGCAGAGCAGTTCTTCGTAAGATACAAAAACGCAGATAGATTCAACATTTTTCACACCTCGGCTCTGATACCAATTGAAGGATCGATATCACAGCCGGGAGGCAGACTACTGATATTGTCCACTTTGGGTTGCCCCTCACAGATTTAAAACGCGTCAATAGTGGTGGAGAGACTAGGTCTTATAAGGTACCAAGGACCCTCTTAGCCACCGGTGTGGGATTCTTTGGCATTCCTACTGAAGAGGCGGGTTTAGGAGTCGCAGGTTTGACCAGCTCGAGGGACTGAAAGGCCCATACCTAACAATCTCCCCCCACACCGGTGCTGCCCCTGGCTCTGATACCAATTGATAGTCCCTATACTTAACAATCAAACAATCTAACAGTGATAAGCAATGAAGAAGAAACAGATAGAAATATATCAAGAAGATTGAAACCAAATTTGGTATACCGTGAACATGGTCGTTGCTCTCCCTCGAGAAGGAGAGCAGCAGAAAACCTATCTCTCTATCTCGCCTCTATGCACTCTCAAGCATCGAAAACCTTAGAGTTTCCATAAGTTAGCCTCCTTTTATAGGAGAACTTGGCTAACTTATGGATTACAAAGAAGCTAACGGGCTGATACACATTTGTGGCCCGTATTACACATTTAATTAATAACTACACAAATACAAAGATATTTAATTAGATTGGACACCATAAAATATTCATAACACATGAATTTGACTGACGGCGGTGAGCAGGCAGCTGCTATGGTACCAGGTCGAGTTGCGCGCGATCGATGGCGGTTGAGCTGCGTCCATGGCAGCTGAGTCGCAAGGGGAAGGTGTAGTCGTAGGTCTCGCGACCATGATAAATACCGAGCATTTATTAATTATTTTTATTTGAATCTTAACATCTTGTATTTATTTATCTATGTACCTCATTTCTCGATGAGAAAATTGTCCAATATAGGACTAAAACTCAACCTTTTTCTCAAAATAGGATCACATGCATGTTTTTCTCTAAATAGGACTAACCTTACCGTTTTTACCCCTAATTCTATTTAATTAATTAATTGATCTAAATAATTGCCCCCCCTAGTTTCATTGCACAACCAAGGCAGTCTGGAGGTGGCGGCAGCTCGGCGGCAGCGGAAGAGGTGATTTCCGGTGGCAACGGCGGCAGTGGCGGCGGTTTCCGACGGCGGCAAGAAAATAACAGACATTAAATAGGCAATAAATAGACAATAAGTAGACAATAAATAAACAATAAATTCTGATAAACACCATTGCGGCGGCGGAGAACTCCGGCGGTGGCGGAGGCGGCGACAGCAGAATCTGGCAGTCTGCCGGTTTTTTTTTTTGAATTTCCGACGGTGCTCCGGCGGCGGCAGCGGAGGAGGCGGCGGCGGCGGGTGACGGCGGCGGCAGAATCTGGCAGTCTGCCAAACATTTTTTTGGAATTTTCCGGCGGTGCTCCGGCGGCGGCGGCAGTGGCGGTGGCCGGAGCTCTGGCGGTGGCCAGAGCTCTGACGGCAGGCGGCTGGCCGGAGGTGGAGGGGCAGCAGTGGGGGTATTTTGGTCCAATCACACATAAAAAGTCCTATTTAAGAATGTTTAAACTAATTGGTCCTATTTTGGGAAAAAAGGCATGTTTTGGTACTATTTAGGTAAATCTCCCTTTCTCGATTCTCCAATCATTTTGTATTATACTATTTTTAATAACTCTTAATTCTTTTTTATTAACAGAGATGTGATATTTGCAATTTTAGTCCCACAAGTTTAGGTTGTTTTCATTAGGAAAAACTATCAAATAAGTCTTCCTACTTTTATGAAAAAGTAAATTGAGTCCTCGAAGTGTTTTGTGAATCAATCAAGTTCATCAAGTTTAAAAAAACATCAAATCCGCCATTTGAGCGGTAATCAACCGGTAACTGAGTTACCTGGTGATGTGGATGTCCAAGTGGCATTTTTTATTGTTTTCTATTATTTTTTATTCTTTGTTTTCCTTTTCCTTTTTCTTTTTCTCCTCTCTCTTTCTTCTCTCTTTTTTGTGTTCTCGTTCTTTCTTCTCTAGCCCCCAGACTCGTCCGTCTTCTTCCCTCATTTCTGCATTTCGTTCTTTCTTTCTTTTTACTTTCTTTCTCCATGTCAATCGATCCACTCCTTTCCCTTACTTATGCAGGTCTCCATCTTCGAGATCCGAACACAGAAGGGGCTGGCCTGGGAGGTTTTGGCGCATCGAGGTAGGGGTGGGGAGGTGTGGATATGGAACCATGGAGGTATATAGGTAAGGCGGATATGGTGACTGGTGAGTATGAAAATAGGGGCGGCGGAGTGGTGGGTAGGGAGGTAGGGCGGTGGAGGTGGTGTGTATGGAGGTAGGGGCGGCCGAGATGGTGGATATGGAGGTAGGGATGACGGAGGTAGGGTGTAGGCGCAGTGGAAGTCGCCCGCCGGAGAAGGGGGAGGAGGTCACCTGTCAGAGAAGGTGGTGTGCGTCTGTTGCCTGCCGGTGAGGAAAAAGAGAAAAGAATGGAAAAAAACAAAACTGGAGCCACATGGGCGTCCAAGTCAGCGATAACCGGTATTAGTGGTATCTAACCGGCTAAATAGTTAATTTGATTGATTTTCAAAAGTTTGTGGACTCAATTGATTCACAAAAAACTTCGAGGACCCAATTGACTTTTTTGTAAATGTAGAAGGACCTATTTGACAGTTTCCCTTTTCATTATTAGTCTCGTAACTTTAATCACTTACAAATTTGGTCCTATAACTAATACTCCCTCCGTTCTTTTTTAGTTGCAACGGTCAACATTTCACATTTGCCAACACACGTCTTTGACCATAATTATTTCTTAATTCTTTTAGTAAAAAAGATATTAAAAATCAGATCTTGAAAATTTGTAATGACATGAATTGAACAAAAAAAAATTAAAAAATAATTTTCATAAAATAATAGCGAAAAATGTAGTCAAAGTAGAGCATGTGAATAGTGTTAAATTCAACATGTTGCGATTAAAACAGAACGGAGGATAGTAACTCTTTGCGATTGAAGGACATTATATTTCCCCAGAAAAGTACACTTTCCAGCAAAAATATACCAGATTAGATGCCTTCGTCATTGCACTTTCTGCAAGAACGTGTACGTTTTCGGGGAAACGTCCTTGAATCGCAAAGATTTATTAGTTACAGGACCAAATTTACAAGTAACTAAAGTTACGGGATTAATAATGAAAAAATAAAAAAATTACAGGACTAAAATTGCAAATATCCCTTGTTAACACAATAAAAGTTCACCAAATGTACAAAGTATATACAGTTACAATTTCTTAAAATATGAGTCATTCATGTTCAATCTTTATGAGAGGGGCACAATTTTATTTTTTTAAATTTATAATTAATGAATTGTTTTTCTAAAGTGAAAAAAGTGAAAAACAATTTAGCATGCTTTCACGCACATTTGAGTACGTGAAGCCGGAGCATAGGTATTTTGTGATATCTAAATTTATCGCATTGGTATTTTGTGATTTGAAAATCCACAAGCTTTCTTGTTATAATTAATCATGTGTATAGTCCCTTAATCTAACAAATTTAATATTTTTAATGATGTAAATGTTATGATTGAATATGTAAATATGTTTGTCAAATTATCTAAATTATGCAAAAATACCATAACCATGTACTATGTATTAATCAATATCATTTTATTAACCAATAAATATTGTTTTTCCAAAGTATTATGTGCATATTTAATTGTAGCATGGGATGGTTTGCACGTTACACCCATCTATTTTAAGGGAAATTTGACTTTTACATCAAGTTTTGAACAATATTAGACTTGATATCACATTTTTAAAATTATTAATATGTATACCTATTTCACTATAAACCACTAGGGAGTACTAGTAGGCTTTTCATAATTTTTGGCTAATGAGGAGCCTATTCGTTAACATTCGTTAACATTGATTATGCTGAAATTTACGAAAGATGGACTCAAGTGGCTGAATTGGTTGATTCGATTGATTTATGAAAATTTATATTTAACATATTTTTTATTAATAAAATAGAGAAAAAATTATATAAAAATAGCTAAAATAATGATCTACGGTAATTTCAGACAATACATCAGGAAAATAACACAATCTTACTTTTTCATATTATTACACAATTCAGTACACTTAATAAAAAATTACATATTTAATGAAAAGTTGATCGATAAGTCAGAAAAACAGATTTAACACTCGAAATGTACATATAGTTAACTTTAAAATAGGGTACAAACTTCAATATATCCAAAATATAGGGTTGAAACTTCAAAGTCAAAATCCCCTTTTATTTTACATATAAAGACTAAAGAGGGTTGCCATTTTCATTTCATTCAGTCAAACACCGCAGAATTGAAGGAAACCCTAACTCAAATAAGAGATGCCGTGCGCAGTAGTTCGTTCGCCGGTGTTCTCGCCATCGCCGGTGTTCTCGCCATCGCCGGTGTTCAGCAAATCAACTGCTTCATCTCCGATCAGCAGGAACCTTTATGTTTCCTCATCATTGTCACCGTCCAACTCGTCGTCGGTGTCGCCTTTACGCTCGTTGACTCTCCGACTTCCCACCCAGACGCGCAATTTTATTCGGAACAAAATTAATGAAGATCCATCTTGCTCAACCTCGTCTACAACCCCTACACCGGTTTTGAAGAGAAAGAGGCCGGCGAAAATCAATATTCCGATATTGCCGTTGAATTTCGAACCATGTGTTCAGACTCCGAGGGGTGATGATAGAATGGAAGAGGTTGAGGTTGAAGGAGAAGGGTACTCCGTGTACTGCAAAAGAGGAAAAAGGGGTGTTATGGAGGATAGGTATTCGGCCATCGTTGATCACCAAGACTCTAAACAGGTAATTCTCCCCAGACTTTGCATCTTTTTCAGTTTCTTATTGTTAAATATCCACAATATAAAAATGGAACCGGAGGTTTAAATTTTACCAATAGTCGTGCAATATGATATCCTTTAAAATAAATATATGAAGGACTATTTACCTTTTGAAGTGCTTGTGCATATTCCTTACCGAAAAATAAATTCTTATCCTGACTAAGTATGGAGTAATTATCATCACTTAGAAGTGTATGAATACATTACTCTTCACTGAAAAGGCATAAGCGTAACAATTTTTTCAAATCCTTCTATAGCTAATTCAATTTATGCCAAGTCCTTGCTCTTTGTTCTTGTTGAACGGGGAATCCTATCTTTATCCTAATATAATATGTGCCTTCAGGTTTTTTTTGCCATATTTGATGGGCATGGAGGAGCTGCAGCCGCAGAGTTTTCAGCAAGAAACATGGGTAGGAATATTATGAATGAGGTTTCTGCTCGGAGTGAAGAACTTGAAAAGGCTGTGAAAGAGGGTTACCTCACAACTGATGATGAATTTCTAAAGCAAAATATCAGGGGCGGAGCTAGCTGTGTGACGGCATTGATTCACGAAAACAAACTTATTGTCTCAAATGCGGGTGACTGTCGCGCTGTTATGAGCCGAGGTGGGGTTGCAGAGGCCCTAACAGTTGATCACCGGCCCTCAAGGGAAAGTGAAAGAGAAAGAGTTGAAGCACTGGTAAGCTAAGCAGATGTATAGATCTATGATAGAATGTATTATGTATAGTTGGTTTAGGGTCATTCATCTAGTCCAATCCACATGGCCTAAAGTTCTAAATATGTGAAGTGGCTGTTTGGTAGCCACTGTTTTCTGGTAATCAGTCTTACTAGCCAATACCCATTGGTTATTAATAGGAAAAAGCTCCCGAAGATGGTATTTTTAGCCATTTTCGTACACATTTTCTTTATTTATGAATTAAAGACTCTTTTTCACAATACAATAATTTCAACAAGTTCATCGATATCAACCACAATTTCAGTCAAGTTTACCCTTACTGAACACTGAGCAGGTCCTAGAACATTGAATCCAGTCAATTATCCTGACTCACCTAAGGCCATATAATCCCATATCTCTCTTTCATGAATATTTTGAATTATTTTGTGTCATGACTGATAGATCGTTCGCTTGTCTGTAGGGTGGCTATGTAGATTGCCTGCGTGGTGTATGGAGGATTCAGGGATCCCTTGCTGTGTCACGAGGAATAGGAGACTCTGAATTGAAGAGATGGGTAATTGCAGATCCAGAAACAACAACAACAATATTATCTGACCCTGAGCTTGAATTCTTAATCCTGGCTTCTGATGGAGTATGGGACAAGGTAAATTAAGAAGCAAAGATACATTATGAATTGCAGAAACAAAAAAATGTGTACTTAAGATATTTTAATCTAAACTGGTCATTTTTTTCTTATCTTATTTGCAGGTTAGTAATCAGGAGGCAGTTGATGCTGTCCGATCTATGTGCATCGGTGTCGACAATCCTAACCCACTCTCTGCCTGCAAAGAGATAGTTAACATGGCCCTGACAAGAGGCTCCTTTGATGACATAAGTGCAATGGTCATCCATCTTAGCCATTTTGTTCAGTGATCTAGACTCCTTTTAGTAGCCATAGTAGAGGCCTGGTCTGCGTATCTATAGAATAATAGATCTTGACTTAGTTCACTGAAATCAGTGTGTTACCAGACTCTTCCTTTTAGAAATTTAAGGTTCAGCCATCTCAACCACATGACCCTTCCCAAATCCCAAACGGCATCCTAATGCTCGAGTATATTTATCTGGGATGAAATGCGAAGACTCCTGGGTTTTTCTGTGTGGTTGGTGGTCTAGACATGCCAAGGCCATACTTTTTTCTTGAGCTTAACATGTTGAATTCATTACAAACTGATATTTTATGTAACCATTCACTTGTACATGGATTTGGAGTTTAATCATACAATGAATTTGATGTTCTATACACTGACAACAATGTTATGACTTATGAGAATGCATTTCAAGAGCCCGTTTGGCAGCACGAAAATCAGCTGTTCTGGCTGATTCTGCTGAAATTTATGAAGTTCTGGTTGAAGTGGCTGCATTGACTGATTCTGCTGCTACAAGAAAAAAATATTTTTAAAATATATTTTATTAATAAAATAAAGAAAAAATTATATGTAAAAATAGCTAAAATGGTCATCTACAGTAACTTCAGCCAATACAGCCAGAAAAGTAACTCCAACCTTACTTTTTCGGCTTATTACACAATTCAGCGCGAAAAAGCAAAATTTACGTGTTTGATAAAAAAGTTGGCTGATAAGCCGAAAATGAGGGTTGTCAAACGGCCTCCAAATGTTTTTTTGCCTTTTCAAATTTACCCTGCCATATGTTTGTACATGACATTTTAACCCTTGCGGGCCGGGCCAGTTCAGCGCAGTGCCGGTTCCGGGTTGGGTCACCCGGCCCAAGTCCACCCTTAAGCGAGGGGGTGCCATAAGGGTTAGGTCCCGGGTTCGAATTCGGAATTGCGATGAGAGGTTACTATTCTAAAAATGGATAGGACCTCTGCAAGTACCGTTGATAGAGCCCCACTCTCTATCTGTCAAATTGAGATTATAGTCCAACTTATGTCTCCCAACGTACCGTTCGGTCGGGGTTGGGGGCCCCTTAGGGATGGAGTGTCATAACGGAATAAAGATGGTAAATGGAATAAGGGTCCCTTTTGTGAGGGTTGTTTGGTTGAAAATTTGAAACTTGAAATACTCCAACGGATTGAATTGTTGGTGACTTTATTCTAGTCAACTAGTCAATTAAGTTTTGCCCATTCTCTAGAAACTTGAATAAGTTTTGACTTTATTCTAATTTGACGCTTGATATTTTGTATAAACGTCAGTGTCTAATGCTAATACAATTACAAAAATGTTAATTGTATACTTCAAGTTGTACACCATTTGTACACTATAGATGCACTTTTCTCTTTTTTAGATGAACCGTCAATACATTGATAAAATTGATAGTACAAACAAACCCAAAGGGGCATCCCCCACGACATATCACACAGGAAAACACTAGAGAACAGATAATCTCTCTTATCCATAGCAAAACTCCAAAAACAAAAGAAAACAAACATCTTAGAAACGAGGGGGAAATTAAAAATCAATCATATGTGGAGGATACAACCTAAACAAAATTATAAATGTTGTAACTTCGATAGATGATAAAACAATATTTTGCACGACTGCTTTGTTCCTTCAAAGATCCCTGGTATTTCGGGCCTTCCAAATAGTAAGCACAGAGCAGCAGAAACCCACACGGGTTGCGTTGAATATAACCCTTGCTCTGTTACGTTTTAGGTTAAGTAAACGATAAATTAAAGAGCTAGAACACAAGAATTTACGTGGTTCACACAATCGGGGTGATTGTGCTAGTCCACGGCGAACGAGAGAGAGAGCAGTGTATTATTATCAGTGTGTCGTCAGGGTTACAAGTACATAAGAGTTGTTTAAATAGGTTTAAGAAAACCTAAACAATAATTAGAGCCGCAGGCCCAAAAACTAAGCCCGTATTAATTTTCTCCCGCATACCCGGTCGGGTACCCTCCTGTACCCGGTCGGGTATCTGTTCCAGAAGACATTTCTCCACGTTACCCGGTCTGGTAGCCAGGCGGGTATCTCCTCTGGTCCAAGACTCAACATACCCGGTCGGGTAAAACACCCTACCCGGTCGGGTATCACTTCCAGAGGGTTGCCCGGCCAAATTCATCTTCATACCCGGTCGGGTAACCCAACCTACCCGGTCGGGTATTTTCTTCAACATTCAGAACAATGATCCATCTTCAACAATCTCCCACTTGAAGGCTTGTTCAACAATCATCTGCCATCCAAGAACATGTATTCTCTGTAAAACCCCTGATCTCTCTCTCTCGTTCACGCCTTCTCATCAAGTGTCTAGAAGGCCGGTTGAAGCCATGCATAGCTTCAACTTCTCTGTTGTCACCGCCTTGGTAAGCATATCTCCTGGATTCTTCGTACCAAGGATCTTCTTCAAATTTATGGTACCATCTTCAATCAACTCTCGGATGAAATGGTATCGCATTTTGACATGTTTCGTTCTGCTGTGAATTGAAACACCGGATTCTTCGCGAGATGAATAACACTCTAGTTGTCACAATATAGACCGCAATCTCACTGCTTCATGCCCAACTCCGAAAGAAAGTTCTTCAACCAGATCAACTCCTTGGCCGCTTCAGCAAGGGCCATATACTCTGCTTCTGTGGTTGAAAGAGTCACACTCTTCTGTAGTCTGGACATCCAACTGATCGCCGTACCTCCAATAGTGAACACATACCCTGTAGTGCTCTTCCCGTAATCATAACAGCCCCCCAAATCAGCATCGGTAAATCCTTCTAGGATTACACCATTCCTCCTGAAACAAAGGGCAGTTTCAGAAGTGCCTTTCAAGTAACGTAACAGCCACTTGACTCCTTACCAATGTTCCTCCCCTGAATTTGACATGAACCTGCTAACAACTCCCACCGCATGAGCAATGTCCAACCTTGTTGACACCATCGTGTACATCAAACTGCCAAACGGCTGATGCATAAGGAACTTTAGCCATTTCTTCTTTGTCTTCATTGGTCTTTGGAGACTGCTGCTCGGAGAGTTTCAAATGACTCCCTAACGGTGTATTCCTTGGTTTGGCATCCGTCATTCTGAACTTCTCAAGGACCTTCTGAATGTACTTCTGCTATGAAAGCTGTAAAGTACCTTCTACCCTGTCTCTGACTATGCTCATCCCAAGAATCTGTCTCGCTTCCCCTAAATCCTTCATCTCAAACTCTTCGGACAACTTCTTCTTTAGCTTGTTAATCTCCTGCATGTTTGATCCAGCCATCAACATGTCATCAACATACAAAAGAAGAATAATGTATGATGACTTGAATTTCTTCAAGTAATAGCAATGATCCATCCTGCATCTAGTGTACCCATTCCGCTGCATGAAACTGCCAAACTTCAAGTACCACTGTCTAGGAGCTTGCTTTAGTCCATATAGACTTTTCTTGAGTTTGCACACCAACTTCTCCTTACCACTCACTGGGAAACCTACTGGTTGAGCCATGTAAATGTCTTCTTCAAGGTTGCCATGAAGAAAGGCAGACTTCACATCCCACTGCTCCAAATGCAAATTTTCAGCAGCAAAGATACCAAGGATCAACCTGATAGTAGTCATCTTCACAACCGGAGAGAAGATTTCATTTCTATCAACCCCCCTCTTCTGTTGGAACCCTTTGACAACTAGCCTGGTCTTGTACCTTTTGCTTCCATCGGCTTCATCTTTGATTTTGAACACCCACTTGTTCTCCAAAGCTTTCTTTCCCGGTGGTAGCTTGACTAAGGACCAAGTTTGGTTCTTGTCAAGTGAATCTAACTCATCCTACATGGCCTTCTTCCACTGCATGGAATCTCACGGTCAGCGCCTCTGAGTAAGATTCTGGCTCTCCATTCTCGGTCAGCAACAGGTAATTTGCTGAAGGAGAATTTCTATTTCGAGGTCTTCTGTTTCTAGTGGACTGTTTTGTAATACCCGAGATTAATTTAAGAGGATTAATAGTACTACTCATACCAACAGAGGTGCATCTCCTTTTAAGGGAGCTCATCACCCAAGAACTCCAAAGTTAAGCGTGCTTGCACGAGAGTAGTCTTGGGATGGGTGACCCCCTGGGAAGTTTCTCAGGGCGCGCATGAGTGAGGACAAAGTGCGCGGTAAAGGCTCGTGGTGGTTTGTGGGGACAGTACTAGACGTCAGAAGTAACTACCTCGGGGCCTACGGGGCCGGGGTGTTACAGGTGGTATCAGAGCAACCCTGCGACAGTGTGTTGACCCGTTGGATATCGGGCAGGGCACTTAGCGGGGCAAGATTCTGGGGTTCGATTGAGATTGTTAAGGGCGCAACGAGGACGTTGCTATCCTAAGTGGGGGTGATTGTAATACCCGAGATTAATTTAAGAGGATTAATAGTACTACTCATACCAACAGAGGTGCATCTCCTTTTAAGGGAGCTCATCACCCAAGAACTCCAAAGTTAAGCGTGCTTGCACGAGAGTAGTCTTGGGATGGGTGACCCCCTGGGAAGTTTCTCAGGGCGCGCATGAGTGAGGACAAAGTGCGCGGTAAAGGCTCGTGGTGGTTTGTGGGGACAGTACTAGAGGTCTAGAGTAACTACCTCGGGTCCGTGTGGGGCCCCGGGGTGTTACATGTTTAATGTGTGGAGTAGCTACCTGTGAACTCCCACTATCTTCATCACTCCCATTATCTTCATAAATTCCTGTATCTCCTGAGCTCCCACTACTCCCTGAGCCTCCAGCCGTCTCACCACAACCAGCAGGTTGTGCTATGTCATCTTCAGTCATCCCGTCAAACACCACTTGATGTTTGTTTTCTGGTTGCTTGCCTTTGCTTGTATCTTCTGCAACACCATCTTTATACAGGGCATTCTCATTGAAGCTGACATCTCTACTTCTGATAACCTTCTTGTTGTGGTTGTCCCAGAACTTGTAGCCCATGTCATCCAACCCGTACCCAATAAAGATACATTTCTTTGCCTTTGCCTCGAGCTTGTCACTGTCTGTATCTTTAATTTTGACA